ATAGGAAGCCCTAGCAAGCACAAAAATTGCCCTAAAATAGGTGGACTTGATTAGTGGAAAGACCGTTAAAAAGGGGAGATGATTGTTCACACCTTTGAAGTAAAGAGCCATGGGTCATTAATGGACCATTAACTGCCTTACCTGCCCAAGTAGTATAATACCAGAGCTGCAGAATGCCTCCCACTCCTGTCTCTGCCTACAGCAGCACTGCTGATTTGAGTTGGCCGGGAAGGGTAGTGTCCCAGATTTCATATTATCCTGGATTTCACATTACCCTTTATAACCACCCTAAACATAACCCCTAAGCCTAGTATAAAGTATTAAATGGTACCTGGGCCTCTTTTTATACACAGATCAAAACAACTTCATTTTTACAGCATACATATCCTAGTTCTTGACATTTATTCAAACATATGTAGGTGGCATCATCAGCATCCTCCTTCTTACCGGTTAATGCAGCCTTCTCACCAGATGGGGACACCTGTTTGTCAGGTCATGCTGATCCTTATTATGGTGTCTTGTACTGGCTTATTAATTCATTCTCTTTCTGTTGGCTTTGGAGGCACTTCTAAGGCTAGCAAGCTACTTTTCTAGGACTTCTGTTCAAGAATACAGTATGCCTGGTTTTGTTCCAGCAAGGCTTACTTTGGTCCATGCTGTTAGCGGGGCCTCTGTGTGATTTGTATACACACTGATTGATGGTTGTATTAATCCATACTCCAGTGAGGCTAACAAATGGCAGCCATTGCTGCTGCCATCCTACCTGCCGCAGCCACTGCAACCAGGCCAGCCCCTGCCACTGCCCCTGTTATGTCTCTGCTCCTGCCTTGTGTGGCCATGTAGGAGGAATGCTTTCCTTCACTGCAGAGGCCTGCATTTTTTCCTATCAGCATCAAAGAAGCCATTTAGACACCTCTCCAGGATGCTCTGGGGACAGCAGGTCTTTGGGTTTCTAAACTTCCCTCCTCTCTCTTCTTGTTGCAGCAACACTGATGTTCACACTGTGGCCTCCCTCCTGAAGCTTTACCTCCGAGAGCTGCCGGAACCTGTTATCCCCTTTGCCAAATATGAAGACTTCCTCTCTTGTGGACAGCTTCTCTCCAAAGATGAGGGCGAGGTCAGTGCTTTTCCTAACCCATCTCCTTTTATCCTCAATGCTGTTCTTAAGCTTCCTGACCCAGTGCAGGTTCATTTCACAACTCTGAACCAAAGCCCAGTACTCCCTGTGAATCTTCCTTGAACTTCAGTGAGCTGCAGCATGAAGCAGATGGCTCTTGGAAGTAGGTCTTGAAATCCTGCAGTATGCAACATTCATAGAGCATGGTTTGATATTCTTTTTGATTATGACTTGTTCTTCTTAGTAGGGCTGTTTTCTAGTTGATGCCATAAAGAGGTGTGAGTCAGGAAGCCTGGATCACTGACTCATTCTGACTCACTGGACAAGTCATTTCACCTGCCTATGCCTCATTTTCTCCATTACTTATATGGGGATTATAATTCCTACCCCTGAGATGCATTCAGGGAGGTTCCTAACTGATGTCTGTAAGTGGCTTTAAAGAGTTACTCAGAGGAAAGAAGCCACAAAAGAGTAAATTATGGTATTATCCCAAATGGATATGAGGGTAAATAATAATGTTGAGCACTTCAGCAGTATCTTCTATTGAAGATTGACTTTCCATATTTTCCTCCATTTTATTCCAAATAGTAGAACAACCTAAAGGAGCCTTCCAGGTCTTGGGCAGAAGTGCAGATTGGTTGAAAGGTGTCTTTTGGATTCTGTGGAAGATAATGGGATAATTTATCATTGTTGTAATTTATAAATTATTCTCCCATCCCAGTGATATCTGACCACCATATTGGATTGGACCTGATCTGATGGAGGCAGGAAGCATTGCGCCACCTTCTAGATGGAGATTGTCAAAAGGGATTTGAACCATATTACTTGTGCCCCGAGATGTCTGTGGGTTCTAGAGTAACCCATGCAGGGTTCTAGCCTGTTGCGCTATGTGTACAGCCAAGAATGTGCTCCTAGTGTTGCTTTAGTGGTTGGTCCCAGGGGACTACATCAACCTACCACTTCTTCATGGGGGGCTTTCCTGTAGTTTGAGTGCAAAGTTCTGTGTAGTGATGCTAACCCCAGAGCCAATCCCTGTTGATATCCCAAGTATGTGCCTGTGTGCAGCCATTAGTAGTTATGCGCTATGCAGTAGTAGTGATCCCAGTATCTGTATGCTAATTCATTACACCATGATGCAGTTGCAGCCATATGTGCAGAGGCAGTACATCAGAGTGTTGATGGAGCTTCACCTAGACTGATAAGAGAAAGAGTTTTGAACTCCTGAATCCCATTACACAGGAGCAAGCCTAGTGCTACAGTGGGCAACGATCATTGTATGTCATCATTCAGTATATTAACTATGTAGCTTGCCAGCAGACTTCATTGCCTGGGAAGCAGCATCAGTCTTGTTTTTGTATGAATGCTAGACCTAAAAGAACTGTATTTCATTATTCTGTTTGCATGGGAGGGAGGGACCTCCCTGTAGTTCTTGTTTGTTTAACCGTACTTCACGTCACTGGAATGAAAGTTTACAAAACACAACGTAGTGCTTAAGTCTCTGCTGAAAATGTACTTCTAACAATTTCTGAATTGTCAGATGAATGTGGAGCCCCAAAAGAGCTGTCTCCTTTTGGGAAGGGAACTTGGGATAGACACAGCATGGATCGGGAGTACCCCAATGTCTGTCTGTTCTCAGTAGAGCAAGTAGGACAAGTTCACATAAATCACTGCCCTGACCAATAAAGCTATTTGGGGTTTTTTTTATGTGGGTAATTTTCTTGATGAAAAAACATGGTTTCAATTCAACAGTATTTGTCACAGGAAATTATCAGCTTCAGGGGACTTTTTTGCAGGAGAATACAAAAGAAAAATCTTTGTTTTGAGTTGACATCTGAAAACAAAATGCATTTTTATTTTAACCTGAAGTGTCTTCCCTAGTTGTGTTTTCAAATGGAAATGAAAATGTTTGTAATGAATTGGATGTTTCACACTAAAACTGCTGTTTTTGTTAGGTTGTTCAGACCTGAATGGCAGAAACAATATTACTTTAGTCAAAACATTAACTCAAAACACGTGTTTTTATTATGCCAGCTAGAAAAATCTAAATAAAACATCACATGGAACTGAATTGAAAACTTTTGCTTCGTTTCAAACCATTTGTTCTTATTCAAAATGTTGGTGACTAAGCAGTTGGAAAGGCCCTATGGGAAAAGTAGTACTTGAGACCAAAAAATGTTGACAGAAGTTTTTTCATTCAAAGTATCTCTCAGTTAAACTCTGGGGCACTTTACTTTGTAGTGTTGCCTCTCAACCAGAGGTGGTTTTTGTTATACACAAAATTAGTACTGTGAAGGCCAGTAGCATAACTAGGGCAGGGTGATAGGGGCAGCTGCTCAGGCACTGATTGGAGGGGTCAAGAGGAAAAAACTGCTGTCACTGCAGCTGCACAGTTGTGCTGGCCATAGTACAGTGGCAGCCAGAAGTTGCCACTGCCCGTGTGCTGCAGGAAGCTGTGTTGTTATATCTCTGGTGCAGGCCTCCCCATATGCACTCTGGAACAGTAGCAAAGAATGCTTGGGATATATCCCAGACCTTTTGCTTATTATCCAGGTTGCTTGCATACATCCCTGCATCAGTCCTGATCACCTGTTCACAGCAGATGTGGAGCCTTTATTGCTGTTACTTCTATACTAGTATTCATCTTTGTACAGCTGTAGTGCTGTCTGTGGGACAGGGCCAGGAGCATAATCTCTCTGGTGCAGCTGGCTCTAATCACCAGGTCCAGGAAGAAACAAAGTAGATAAAGGTGAAAAATTGTAGAATAAAAATTAAGGAAATATTTTCAAGTTTTTAAATTCTCATTTGATTTCAAGAGATGCCCACTGTCGTGTTGGCATCTCTGCTGGCATCTCTGCTGCTGCAAGGAGCCAGATTTCATGCCCAACACTCATGAAAGGAAGAAGGTAGGCGGACTGTTTTAAATCTTTAAACCAACTCTTCTCAACCTTTTTAGATTCAAGGCACCTCTCAGAAAATACCAGCCCTTAATTTTCACATTGCAAAGAATAGAAAGATAACAAGAGCAGGAGGGCACAAAAGGGAGCAGGAGGGCACAAAAGCCCCCATGGCTCACCAAAAGCATCTGGGAATGTCTCCTAGATAAAAGGGAGGCACACACCCAGTGGTAGAGAGGGGCCATCACCAGGGAGGACTATACTGCGGTTGCTCGGGGATGCAGGGGGGCAGTC